CTTCACGATGGGGGTGGGCTATGGTCTATTTTCTTTCCCTTGTTATTTTTCACCTCCACCCATATGGATTCCACATTGTCCATTCAATAGTCTTTTTTCACATCTATACCATGCTTTTCTGGCAAAACTACCCCACCACTCTTTCCTTCCTTCTGAAAAGTCACATACCTCTAAATATTTCATTCCCAGCTTTGATCTCTCTGTTACCATGTCTCCTCAATGGCTAAAAGCTCTTATCTCTTTGTGTCAATAATTCATTTAGATTGTTTTGAATAACATGTACATTTAAGTAAAGAGCCATGAATTTGGCTTTTTATCAGCTGCACCTCCCTCCATCACCTTTGACTTTATTTGCCATTGTTTGTATATTCTTAGACATCTGTCACTTCCTGTCCCACTCTTATCATCATCTAAAGGGTTGACTTGTAACGCTGCCTTATCGTTTTGCTTTGTCAGCCTAATTTTCTCTCTCCTGAACCCTCACCACCTCCACTTAGATTAAAGCCCCAAAGACTCCTACACAATCCTAGCTGTTCAACTTGCCAGGGCACTGATCCAAGTTTGATTCTAATGAGGCCTATCCATCTCACTGGATATATTTCCTTCCACCCCAGTACTGTCCTAATGTCCCATGAACTGAATCCCATATCTCCCACACCAATGTGAGCCACACATTTAGCTCTACAACTTTATTTAACCTGTGCCAGCTTGCCAGTGATACAGATGGTAGTCATGAGATTGTTCATATTTCCTCTCCCAACATGCAACGGCTTCCTACACCATGGTGTCATGACTTCTTCTAAGGAATTGTAAAAATATGACAGAGAAATGCTTGTAACAAGTCCTAAATATAGAAACATGTGAACAACAGCAGAAATAGACCGTTTGGTCCCTCAAGCCTGCTCTACCACCCAATATGCTATTGACTGATCTGTTTGTGTTTCAAATTCCACACTCCCTTCTACAGCCAAGAAGAACTCACTCCAGGAAAAGTTCATGTTCCGCAACTGTGCTGGGATGGAAAGAATGGGAGAGGGAGATCGATCGATGGGGTTCAATTTCATCATTCTGTTTGAAATCCTGAGCGATCCCTTCTCTGTTTTCACCTGTTCATTAGTGTCTCCCAGTACAAGATGGACCCTGACAGTAAACAAGCTGCCCTGAAGACAGGACAAAGCGAGTGATGGTATCTCTCTGCTTCTTTGTTGCACACAGGGATAAACAGATTCATCAAGGACATTGAGATGATGATTGGGGAAAGGAATTGGCTCTTCTGGCTGTGGTGGAGAATGTGTTGGGTTCTGATCTCACCGTGTTTGCTGGTGGTAAGGAGACGTTACACATTTTTATGATTTAAGCTGCAAATAATCAAGCTCCAGACAATCTCTCATACTGTTTCTGATCTAGTTTTGTATCTTATTTTCTTTCAGGCAATCTTAATCTGGTCCTTAGTGACATTTGCCCCTCCAACATACGGACCTGTTGAATACCCTGTCTGGGCAATAACACTGGGCTGGTGTATGATCACCTTCTGTATTATGTGGATCCCCCTTGTGGCCGTAGTGAGAGTTGTCCAAGCTAAGGGCTCCACCTTGTGGCAGGTGAGGGACAGCTTTGAAATCTTTTAAAGATTAAGGAACGCAAAATTAGGCTTTGGAGCTATGATAGATTCAACACTAAGCATATCATTTCAAAGAAAAAGGTCCGTTTGTTCCACTTCCACTCATGCTCACTTTAGTTCACTGTGAATACAATCTAGGTGAGGGCTTTAAAGCTGGAGTGATGGGTGTGCACTAGGAGTAGTGTGTGCAAAGGCTTCACTGAGGTGTAATTCACTATGTTAGCGAGAAAAGACAAGTCATTGGATCATTTTGTAGATAAGGGTGACTCCAGAGTGCGTAGGAAGGGACAGAATATATAAACGTAAGAATGCACAACAGTTGGGGTCAGAGTTATGGAATCATAGAGTAGAATCATAGAATACCTACAATGCAGAAAGAGGTCATTTGGCCCATCCAGTCTGCACCAAACTTCTGAAGAGCATCCCACAGAGACTCTATGATTCTAAACTCTGACCCCAATTGCTTGTCCCCAGAACACGTAGCATTTACCATGACTAACCCATCAAGCTTGCACTTCCCTTGACATTAAGGGGCAATTTAGCATGGCCAATCCACCCAAACCACACATCTTTGGAATCAGCTGGGGAAAACAGTAAAATTACAAAGTTAAAGGCTCTTTACCTAAGGGCTCCACGAGTTCATAAAAGACAGGTGAATCATGTTGATTATATAATTAAAACAAGACAGGTCGGTTAGCTCAGTTGGTTGGATGGTTAGATTGCACTGCTGAGTGATACCAACAGCATGGATTCAAGTCCTGTACCAGCTGAGGTTACCGTGCAGAACTCTCCTCCTACAGCTCTCCCCTTGCCTGAGGCACAGTGACCCTCAGGTTAAACCATCACCAGTCATTTCACTCTCTAATGAGAGAGCAGCCCAATAGGTCTGATAGGACTATGGTGACTTTAATGTCACAAAAAAAAAACATAATTTATAACACTTACACAATTAAAACAAAGGTTTTAAAATAACAAAAGAATTTCACAAATATGAACACGTCATTAGGCAAATAACTACAATATATTGCAAATGCATGTCTCCTTAATTAAGCAAGTATAAAATAAACGGTCCACTATAATTTGTATTTTGTATTACAGTTCATGGATCATAGGTTGTCAGGTTGAGTTCATTAAGTACTCAATCAACTCACAACCTATTTATGCATGTTACAAAGCCTGAGTTTGGACTGTCTCAACATCAATTTCTTAGTTTCAGAATGGCATTTTCTGCATTGCAGATTTTCACTTTTGTCTGGCTGTGACAAGAGGTAGCAGCAATGAGATGTGCGATGCAATAGTTTTTGAGTAAGGTCCAGATGGAACATTTCCTGGTTTCAGTACAGGTTTAACAAAATCAATCTCACTGTTTGTTTCTTTATGAATTTGATGACAGAAAAGTAGGGAGACAGAGTTTCAGGGGATGAATTCCAAATGAAAAACCGAAAGAACTGCAGATGCTGTAAATCAGGAACAAAAACAAAGGTTGCTGGAAAAGCTCAACAGGTCTGGCAGCATCTGTGGAGGAGAAGTTCTGAGGAAGGGTCACCGGACCCGAAACATTAACTCTGTCTTCTCTTTCACAGATGCTGCCAGACCTGCTGAGCTTTTCCAGCAACAATGAATTCCAAAGTTCCACAACTCAGCAACTGAAGGGCCAGCTATTCATGGTGGAACACTACAGACTGGACGGGATCAACATGCTAGATGTAGAGGGTGACACATATGTCAGAGGGTTGCAGGATGACACAAAAATGCAGGGAAAAGGTAAGCCAAGGCCATGGGAAGGATTGAAAACAAGCAGGAGAACGTTAAATGAAGATAGTGCTTAAGCAAGAGCCAATGTAAATGGGAAAAAGGAGTGACAGATGATCGGAACTTGATGTAAATGAGAGCATAGTTTTGAATTACTAAGTTCTCAGAGGGTAGAATTTGGGAAGTCAGCTGAGTTGTTATTTGAATAGTCAAGTCCCGATGACAAAACTGAGGATTTCTGCAACAGGTGAACCGAGGAGAAGCCTGACCATATTATGCAGGCAGAAATACATGGTTTTAGTGGTGTTACGGACATGCAGCGAGGAGCTCATTTCAGCATCAAATACATAAAAGACCAAGGTTACAACTTGTCTGTCTCAGCTTCAGAAAGTTATGGTACACAAAGAGGCCATTCAGCCCACCATGTCTGTACCAGCCCTCTGAATGTGCAGAATGACTTGGTGTTATTCTCCCATCCTTTCCCCATCACCCTGGGCATTATTCCCATTTCAGGGATTATCCAGTGCTATCTCTAATACCCTGACTGACTCTGTTTCCACCAGACTTCCTGGCAGTACATTCTAAACTGTACAATAGTTTTATTCTCACATCCAAATTGCTACTTTTGCAAATCACTTAAAATATCAAGGACTAAAGAGCACAGATTTAATGCGCAGAGTTAATTGTTTCTGTTTGATCTACCCAGACCTCTCATGACTTTGAAGATGTCAATCAAATCTCCTCTCATCCTTCTCCTCTCCATGGAGAAAAGTCCCAACCCTGTTATCAAAGTCTGGCAGTTAACTGTCAATCAGCATTACTGGGTGCATTTTCCATGTCATTGTCTCTGCCAATCAGAGTTTAATTAGCAACCATTCATGCAGTATAAATTTTGTTTCACACCTTGAATTAATTTGGATTCTTGTGAAATATCCTGATGAATGCAAGACAGAGAGTTTCAACAAAATGTGCTTTTCCTCTGCAATACACTGGTTCTGTGCTTTCCAAGGATTACTTGATAGAACATTCTACAATCTCTACCGATAATGCTGGTCACTCTACTCCATATGCTTCTCAGTACGTTTTCCTAACATAAACAGTGTTAGATTTCGGGACTCTGCCTAACTCTCCAAGAATTTCCCTCTTTTCTCTCTTAATTCTGCTCAGACTGTGTTATCTCATCCCAATGTAACATCGGTACAAGAGTGTTCCAGGGTACTAAAGCCCTCATGCAGTAGTTAAGAGATTTGTCTTTGAGGTTGCTACAAATAGTAGATTCTTACAGGCTAACACTGGCAGCTTTGCAAGCAGGACGGCCTGTGATATTCCCCTGATTGCCTTCCCATTGCTCTCCCAGTGTCCAGCCTACAACATTACAAGGGGTGGGCAAAGCCTAGCATACTGATTAATCCTACCTCCAATTGTGAGCTTTCACGATAAGGAGAGAGATAGGAGGCTATGAAAAGGAGAGGGCTATGAAAAGGAGAGGGCTACCTCTACCAATGGCACCAGATCCACTGCCAGCTCAAAGTCCAGCCTATTTGTTTGTTCACTGCATTTCTGACCTTGTTCTCCCTGCTATCCCTGAACCTCCCCTCCCACTCCCTGCCATGTGACCCCACTACTAGGTCCCCCTGTGGAGCTCCAACACTTTGACTCTGGGGGTTGCTTCTGGTGCCAGCAGTGACCATCAATGCCAGTGCTGCTGCTGCAGCAAAATAATTAGTCAATCAGATTGGCGGGCAGTTTTGTTTCAGGCAAGACTTGCACCAAATGGAGGATAAAAATCCCACCTCCAGCTATTTTTCACATCACCGAGACCGAGAGCACCGCCTACATCAAGGACAACGTCACTTCCGCCGATGCCGAAGACATCGCCCCACCCACCGCTGATTTTGCCCCTAACTCCACCCCCACAGCCACCAGCTCTACACCCAGTCCCAGCCCCTAGCCCTGCTGGGTATTCACCATCCCACCAGACCTGCCCCTCACTGAGGATGAACGGTCATTCCTCAGTAAAGGACTCACCTTCATTCCCCTCAGCCCACACATCAACAAATACCACTCACGCTTGGAATTCGATCACTTTTTTCGCCTCCGCGCCTGTTTCTTTAACCCCACCCCCACCCCCCTACAAACACCTTCTCCCGCCTTCAACAAACCTCATCTTCCTGGACACCACCCCACCTCCTACCCTCCCTCGACCTCTTCATTTCCAACTGCCGTCGCGACATTGATCACCTCAACCTCTCCACCCCTCTCACCCACTCCAACCTCTCCCCCACAGAACGTGCAGCCCTCCACTCCAACCCTAACCTCACTATCAAACCCGCAGACAAGGGAGGCGCAGTTGTGGCATGGCGCACTGACCTCTACATCGCCGAGGCCAGGCGCCAACTCTCTGACACCTCCTCCTACCGCCCCCTTGATCATGACCCCACCCCCGACCACCAAACCGTCATCTCCCAAACCATCCACAACCTCATCACTTCAGGTGACCTCCCGCCCACAGCCTCCAACCTCATCGTTGCCCAAGCCCACACTGCCCATTTCTATCTCCTTCCCAAAATCACAAACCCGACTGCTCTGGTTGACACATTGTCTCCGCCTGCTCCTGCTCCACTGAACTTATCTCCGTTTACCTTGACTCTGTTTTCTCCCTCCTGGTCCAGGAGCTCCCCACCTACGTCTGTGACACCACTCACGCCCTCCACCTCCTCCAAGACTTCCAATTACCTGGATCCCAACACCTCATCTTCACTATGGACATCCAATCCCTGCACATTTGTATCCCCCATGTGGATGGCCTAAAAGCCCTCCACTTCTTCCTGTCCTGCAGGCCCGACCAGTCCCCCTCCACTGACACCCTCATCTGCTTAACCGAACTCGGCCTTACCCTTAACAACTTCTCTTTCAATTCCTCTCACTTCCTTCAGACTAAGGGGGTAGCCATAGGAACCCGCATGGGTCCAAGCTATGCCTGCCTCTTCATAGGATAAGTGGAACAGTCCCTCTTTTGCAGCTACACTGGCACTATTCCCCACCTCTTCCTCTGCTACATCGATGAGTGTATTGGCGCCGCCTCGAGGAGCTCGAACAGTTCATCAACTTTACTAACACCTTCCACCCCAACCTCAAGTTCACCCGGACCATCTCTGATACCTCTCCCTCATTCCTGGATCTCTCTGTCTCCATCTCTGGTGACTGCCTCGAAACTGATATCTATTTCAAGCCCACCGACTCCCACAGCTACCTAGACTACACCTCCTCTCACCCACCTTCCTCCAAGACTGCGATCCCCTACTTCCAATTCCTCTGCCTCCGCCACATCTGCTCCCAAGATGGGGTGTTCCACTCCCGAACATCCCAGATGACCTCGTATTCCAAGGACCACAACTTAAAAGAGACCGCATCTCTTACATTTCCCGCACCTCTGCCCTCACATCCCCTCCTCGCAACAAAAATAAAGACAGAATCCCCCTTGTCCTCATGTATCACCCCACTAACCTTCGGATTCAATGTATCATTCTCCGCCAGTTCCGCCACCTGCACTCTGACCCCACAACCAAAGATATATTTCCATCCCCATCCCATCTGCCTTCTGTAGGGACCACTCTTTCCGCGACTCCCTCATCTGCTCCACATTCCCCATTAGCCCCACCACCCTTGGCACCCCAGGCATCTTTTCCTGCAACTTCATCAGGGTCTAGGCCCGAAACGTCAGCCTCTCTGCTCCTATGATGCTGCTTGGCCTGCTGTGTTCATCCAGCCCTGCACCTTGTTGTCTCGGATTCTCCAGCATCTGCAGTTCCTACTATCTCTGATTTAATATTCTGAGCAGCTTGAAATGACTCTGGCACAGCCATAACCTGCAGGGATACATTCTCCACCAAGACTTCAGTTGGTGGGACAGGAAACTTTGCTGTTGGAAAAATCCTGGCCTTTGGTCTTTGTAACCTGTAGATTACACGACTGGCCACTAGTGGCTCCTGTTTCCCATCTTCCACCTTAACTGAACTAGTGCTGTGTCTTAAGCCACATCAGGCCTTGTTCATCTGTCAGCCCTATCCTCACTGATCACTATGCGTTTCTAATCCAACAATATCACATTTACAAAATCTTCACCTTTGTATCATTGAGCAAACCCTTCCTATTTTGCACCCTCCTCCAGCTGTATAAACCATCAATAAAGCCACACTCCTGCAATTCTAACATTTGTTACAACCCAAATTTCACTCTTCCCCTCCATTGGTGGCTGTGCATTCAACAGACTTGACCCTAAATGCTGGTTTTCCCTCCCTAAACCTTTTCATCTTTTACTGCCTCTTATCTTTGACATTTGTGAATTGCAATAAAGTCATTTCACCGAGAATAATTTTGATATAATTTCCACCAGTGTGTCCCTCTGCCAGTGTTTAACAGGATCAATTATAATGTCCGGATGAGAGTATAATCTTTGTCATAAACATACATGTTAAATATTGTCATTATAATATGAATTAACAGGTGCTGGAAGAAACTGCAGAATAATTTGATTAGGAACCAGTTTTCTTTTCTAGTTAATGGTGGATAAAAATCCAGTAGAAATGATGAAACACTTTACTTTCCAAAGAAAATATCTGCTGCTTGTACATCAGCTTCTGACTGGGGTCTGTACTTCCAAGTTCCTCCAGCTCCACACTGTGTTATCTCTAACTTCTTCAGGTGTTCCCTTGATCAGTCAGCACCTCGGCAAAGACCCAGTACAGGGTTGACTGAAGGGGTCTGATCCAAATTGATATTTGTCATAGAAGGTGCAGAAAGAGTTAATGCTGAGGAGTGGGTTAAGAACTGCCGTATTGATGACGTCATCCAGATTTACGTGGAAAAACAAAATCTTGATTAATAAAACCTAACATTGAAATCCTCCTTACAATCTCTGTAACAATGTCTACCATACCAGTGGAATGTATAACTATTGCTAACATGTAATGAATAACACCTTGGCTAAGACAAGGGTCTCTTCTTGTTGGATGACCAAGTGGTTTTCCTCAACCACACTCAACAAAGTGAGCTCTGCAAAACCCTGCCAGGAAGGATATGGAGGCAGTGAGGCATCAATGGCCTGCCTTGATAGTCTGATAGCATGATCAACCTGTAACACGGTGAGAAATGGTGCAGGTTCCACTGAGCTTTGAAAGGTATCTTCAGGCACAACTTTAAGAAGAGTAACTTGTGGCAATGTCTTTCAGGATGGAATCAAAAGAGTGAGATTCATCTGGTAGACCACATTAAAATGAATGGGGTTGTCTTTAAAACTACACACAGCAGGTAAAACCATTGAAGCAAAAGGGGAAATATTTATCAGACCACAAAGAAGTGGGACCCATTCATTGCACTTGCAAAAAAATGGTGGGCATAGTCCATTTTGGGACCACATAAACACGAAAATCCTTCTGGACAGCAATACACAGTAACAGCATTGTTATACTGCAAGTTGAAATCCTTTAAGGTAAGGAGAGCAAAGCAACATTGGGATACAATTTAATACAATCTCTTTTTATTCTCATGTGTGCCCCATTGTAGGAGTACAGTGAAAAACTTTTACAATGTCTGCCTTCTTATAGCGACATCTTAGGTACAAGTACTGAGGTACAATTCTTGGATACAGCAGAGGGATAAAAGTAGTTGCTTCATTACATAGTTGAAACCAAGTTTAAAATAGGAATATATTAAGGGGTTAACATTACAGTGTTGTAAGGTAAGGATTGTCCCCTCACACTGGTCTTCGTCCAGGGCTCGCTTCCTGCATGCTGCTCCGGGGGCTCCTTCCTGTGTGCTGCTGTAGGGCTTTTTCCCTGCGCTGCTCCGGGCTCGCAGCCCAAGTGCTGCCCCAGGGTTCACTCCTTACAGTGTTCTGGGGCTCAGGGGGCATGCCTATGTGTCCCTGAGCGCAAGGCCACCACTGCTCGCTCCGGTTCTCCGTGGGTCTCGGCCCATCCTCGCTCCGGTTCTCCGTGGGTCTTGGCCCATCCTCGCTCCGGTTCTCCGTGGGTCTCGGCCCATCCTCGCTCCGGTTCTCCGTGGGTCTCGGCCCGTCCTCGCTCCGGTTCTCTGTGAGTCTCGGCCCGTTCTCACTCTGGTTCTCCATGGGTCTCGGCCAACTCAGAAAAAGAACCGCGATCAGATCAACCAACTGAGAGATTCCCAATTTGGCTCTCGACCCATCGGACTCAAAGTCATGTACACTAATACCAGTAAAATAAATTTTTAAGAAATTCAATTTACAACTTCTTTCTTTCTCTTTCTCTGTTCTTCTTCACTGTATTTGTGTGTGTGAATGAAGCAGCAAAGTATGTGCCTCTACGTTTTTCATGTTTTGTTAATAAACTCCATCCTTAGCTTGAGTGGCTTATCAAATACATCCCTTTAAAAAAAATTAAATGCATTTATCTTGTTGCTCCTCTCATAGTTTTCTATCTACTTGGACTACCACAGAATCCCTACAATGTGGAAGCAGGCCATTTGGCCCATCGAGTTCACACGGACTCTCCGAATAACATCCCATCAATACCCATTCCCCCACCTTACCCTAGGCCACCCTACCCACTCCTGTAAGTCTGCATTCCCTGTACCTAATCCACCTTAGACATTCCTGGACACTATGGACAATGTAGCATGGCCAATCCATCTAACTTGTGCATCTTTGGACTGTGGGAGGAAACCAGAGCACCTGGAGGAAACCCATGAAGACACCAGCAGAATGTGAAAACTCCACACAGACAGTCACCTGAGGCTGGAATTGTATCTGGGTCCCTGGCGCTGTGAGGCAGCTGTGCTAACCACTGAGCCACCACGCTGCTCCCCCTGACTATCTCCCCATTAAAAATCAAAACTAAACTTATTTTACATTTTAGCCACCTATCTGTCATTCCCTGTGGTGTTATCACGTCTATCATTTAATGGTTATATTCCCATAACAGCATTACTCATTTTTATTGTTACAGTTAATAATCTCTTCTATATGTTTGAAAATTTGTCAACTGTCCTCTTAATCTCTTCTGTTCTAAAGAAACTGATCCTAATTTCTCCAGTACCTGCACCCTCACAAAAGCCTCACTGAAGTGTAATGCCTAGAATTGGATGCAATATTCACCGCGAAGCCAAAAGAAAGATTTATAACTGTTCAATATCACCTTGTTGCTTTTTTTAGATTATACTTTAATCCCACATGGTTTATTAAACAGGCAAAGACAGCCTTGCAAAATGCTATTTCATGTTATTTCAAATAATGAGAAAATTCCTGTGCCTACAAAGTTTCCACTATGAATTTGAACAAAGCTGAGTTAAAAACTTGAAAGCAATCGACCAATGCCAACAAGAACTGAAATTAACTCAGTAGTTATGAAGAAGAAACTAGGGCAATGTTAACAAAAGAATCCAAGCATAACACTGAAGAAAAGAAAAATAACTCAACAGCATCCAAGTGATTTAAGGAGAAATTGAACCAAAACATATCGCAAAGGAATTCCAGATTACAAGAAAGTAACTGATGTACAGCATATCAGCTGAGTTGCTGACTGTCCTTGAAGAACTCATAGTGCGTCGACACCAGATCATTGCTTCATCGCCAAGGTGACTTGAACCAAAATTATCTTAGAAGTTTTCAGATCTCAGGAGTTGCCAGAAGTTGTAGACAATTTGGGGCTTCCTTGGAATCAAACTTGTTTCTGTATCGTTCCCCTCTGTGTTCTTCCAGGTATGGACCCCAATCAGGAGCTGAGGTGCAAGCGGTACAAATTTTCTGTGAAAGAAAAATCAAAAGGTTTAAACATTTCTGCCTGATTTATATCCATTATTAGACTTCCAACTAGAGGAAATCCAGACCTAAATCTGGTCATCCTACATTTGGAACTGACATAAAAAGAAGAGGATGCAGGTGGGCAGTCCCAAACTTTCTTTAGCGGGAACGATTTCACTCAGGAAATTACTAACCATTAACTTGGTGAAAGATTGTGAGAAACGTACTGGTAGGCAATAGAAGGGATGAGAGTTTGCAAGTTAATGCAGAATCCATAATTAGTGAAAAAAAACTGATGCAATGAATTTTGAAGGCCAGAGTCCTTCATAACCGATCATGTCGATAATATAGATGCTCTCCAGCCCTTTGAAAATTCCTGAAAGGTAAAGCTGATTCCAAATCAAGAAGGTAATTTCGAAGTTGGTTGACAATTGTATTATGATTAATTGCAGTATCCAAAATTTTTTTTTAATTCTCTCATACAAACCGAGAGGAATTGTGAATATATGTCTCAGTTATTTCTGTAATTTTGTATATGTTGACATATGTGTATGCCTGTATGTGTGCACATGTTACACACACACACAGACACACACACACTCCAGTCTGTGTGTGGTATGTGACATGCATATGTGAGACTGTAGGAGAGACGTCTTTTCAAAATTGTACTTAATGTCACTGTTAGAACTCTGACCTGACTCCACCCACACTGTACTATTTATGCCCACTGGGGAGTATCTCACAACTTCATCGCAAGTTTGCTCCACGGTCATAAAGCCCACACGCAACATAGAGAAGTCATTATTTATGGCATCTCTCCAACTTTCCGGTGCTCTCATGTTGAAGATCCAGTCAGAATTGGTTAAAATGTCGCTAATCACTTTCAAAGATAACATAGTATGTCCTCAGCAAAAACAGAAATTGCTGGATAAACTCAGCAGGTCTGGCAGCATTTGTGGAGAAAAAGCAGAGTTAACATTTCAAGTCCAGCGATTCTTTCTTTCAGAACTAGACTTGAATTGGTAACTCCACTTTCTTTCTACAGATGCTGTCAGACCTGTTGAGTTTCTCTAGCAATTTCTGTTTTTCTTTCAGATTTCCAACAGCCGTGGTTCCTTGTTTTATTTTAGTATTTCCTTACCTGCCACAAGGTGGAACCCTCAGCTTGGACAAATCTCATTATGGCAACAACAGGAATCCACATAATACAGAAGATGGTCATACACCAGCCCAGTGCTATTGCCCAGACAGGGTATTCAACAGGTCCGTATGTTGGAGGGGCAAATGTCACTAAGGACCAGAACAATATGACCTGTTTAAAATGAAGGCATAAAATCACATCAGAAATGAACTGATTTTACCCAATTTATTTTCTGCTTAAGAGACAAAGAAATGTAACATTTCCTTACTGCCAGCAAACATGGGGAGATCACAACCCAACACGCTCTCCACCACAGCCAGAAGAGCCAAGTCCTTTCCCCGATCATCATCTCAATGTCCTTGATGAATCTGTTTACCCCTGTGAGCAACAAGGAAGCAGAGAGACACCATCACTCACTTTGTCACAGAGATAGTAGGAACTGCCGATGCTGGAGAATCTGAGATATACAAGGTGCAGGGCTGGATGAACACAGCAGGCCAAGTAGCATCAGAGGAGCAGGAAGGCTGACGTTTCGGGCCTAGACCCTTCTTCAGAACTGGGGAATGGGAAGGGGATTCTGAAATAAATAGGGAGAGAGGGGGAGGCGGATAGAAAATGGATAAAGGAGAAGATAGGTGGAGAGGAGACAGACGGGTCAAAGAGGCGGGGATGGAGCCAGTAAAGGTGAGTGTAGGTGGGGAGTTAGGGAGGGGATAGGTCGGTCCAGGGAGGACGGACAGGTCCAGGGGGTGGGATGAGGCTAGTAGGTAGGGGATGAGGGTGCGGCTTGAGGTGGGAGGAATGGTTAGGGAGGCGGGGACAAGCTGGGCTGGTTATTGGATGCGGTAGGGGGAGGGGAGATTTTGAAGCTTGTGAAGTCCACATTGATACCATTGGGCTGCAGTGTTCCCAAGCGGAATATGAGATGCTGTTCCTGCAGCTTTTGGGTGGCATCATTGTGGCACTGCAGGAGGCTCAGGATGGACATGTCGTCCAAGGAATGGGAGGGGGAGTTGAAATGGTTCGCGACCGGGAGGTGCAGTTGTTTAGTGCGAACCGAGCGTAGGTGTTCCGCAAAGCGGTCCCCAAGCCTCCGC